CGGAACAAAATTGTCTCAAGAAAAAACTAGACACTTTTCTGGAAGGAGTGCCGGACCAACTGGGCTGTGGTAGATAGGAGAGCCTACGAGCCGCTTCAAGCAACAGCCTGGTGGACCAAGCTCTCTCAAGTCAAGGAGTGAGTGAGTGAGTGAGTGGTTGGTGTGTGTGTGTGGTGTGTGTGTGTGTGTGTGTGTGTGTGTGTGTGTGTGTGTGTGTGTGTGTGTTTGTGTGTGTGTGTGTAAAATAAAAATATTTTAGTTAGTAGCAGTTAATCGACAGTTGAGAGGCGGGCCGAAACAGAGCTCAACCCCCGCAAGCACAACTAGGTGAGTACAGCCAAACAACAACTCCGTCAGCCGCACCGTTTCATAGTACCCCATATGTGTGTCCGTTGGGGGATTTCAGCGTCAAAATACGATGTATTATTTGAGGGGGGGGGGTGGCCCAGTTTGTTCAGACCCCTGCCGTCCACCTCCCCTTTGACTAAGTTGACGGGGTTCACAATACTAAGTTGACCTTCCCTGTCCCGGACACAGCGTAGACAGACAAAGACAGATACAGACAGACAGATACAGACCTGACCCTCCCCTTCCAAGTGCTATATAGTCGTAATGGCTTTGGCACCTTCTCCTGATAGTTCCCTTCCTTTCCCCCTCCCCCCAGGCACCAATCGCCCCCCCCCCTCCCAACAGTTGGGCACCATTCGACGATTCACCACACGAATCCATCCCACGTACAATGATCATTGTCCTACCAGCTAATTCTCATAGGCCTGCACTATTTCGGTTTAGTCCTGACAGGGATGATGATTTACAAACTTCACTAAGGGAGACCACTGACACACACGATCATCACATAACATGAGAGATATCATTCATGTACATTATACACTGGGGAGCCTCGATCAACGGTCCAGTCTAAGTGTCGACTTGAGAGCCGAGGAGTGATCCAAGATGGTACAACAGTGGAAGCTTTTAGGCTGGAACTGGAGAAGTTTGTGTACGAGTTATGGGATCAACTTGGCTGTGATGAGGGTTCCTGCTAGCCCTCTACCAGGCTGGGGGTTCCTGGTAGCCCCCTACCAGGCTGGAAGGTTCCTGGTAGCCCCTACCAGGCTGGAAGGTTCCTGGTAGCCCCCTACCAGGCTGGGGGTTCCTGGTAGCCCCCTACCAGGCTGGGAGGTTCCTGGTAGCCCCTACCAGGCTGGAAGGTTCCTGGTAGCCCCTACCAGGTTGGAAGGTTCCTGGTAGCCCCTACCAGGTTGGAAGGTTCCTGGTAGCCCCTACCAGGCTGGCCACGAGGGTACAATACGTGTCTCAATCGTCAACGAGTAATGTTACTTGTAAGATGCGACTGGTGACGACTCTCCTACGCCTGGTGGACGACCAGTGGCAGGCACGGGTACTGGACGGAAGGTACCAACCAGGTATCAACCAGGTATCAACCAGGTAGGGTAGAGGAAGGGCGTACATGTGGTTCGGTGAAGCTCTTTCACACTCCCTCGTGCTACTCACCCACTGACTCACTCACACATGTGCCTCCCGCAGGTGTCCGCAACACGCATGGGGTGGAGGAGGCACCACCCAGGTGTGGGGCCAGAGGGGATGGGGGAAGGGAGTAAGGCAAGTCAGGTGTGTGGGGGTTGTGGGGTGCTATACAGGAGCCTGGGGACTGCGGCAGGTGTGAGAGTGAGAGAAGTGTTCAGATGAATAATGAAGAGTGGTAGTGCACTCATTGATAACCTCCACCCCATGCTCTCTCACGCCACACCCTGGCCCACACCCTGGCCCAAGGCAGTCCTTTATATAGAGTACATAGTCATTAATACAGTGCCCTAGACTATGGTCTAGTGTACTGTATTATAATCTAGGGTGCTGTAAGTTATACAGCACCCTAGACTATGACGCTACAAAATTCATCATCTCGCAGGAAGGTCAGTCATACAGGGACATGTGATCAGTGGTCTCCACTACCACATCTTAAATGCTAAATCAGGATATCTTTAAGAACACGAGAGTGAGATAAACTGCCAAGCTCCAGGCACCACATTCCGGTCGATATGAAGGGATCAAATGACCAAGACATTCTATAATGTAGTGGAAGATTACGCCTCAGTACCTGCTGAGAGTGTGTGTGCACATGGAACAAATCCACAAGGGCTGTGACGAGGATTCGAACCTGCGTCCGGGAGCATCCCAGACACAGACACAGGTGTGGTGCACATGGAAGGTTGGGAGAGTCGTCAGCCTAGTACCAGCCCCAGGTACCAACACCAGACCAGCCTCATCCTGGCAAGTGTTACGTCGCCCTGTCTGGTCTACGTTGTGTGTTGCCATAATTTGAGGTGGTTCCGAGGATCAATATTCCCGTGGCTCGGTCCCTGACCACGCCGCCTGGCTGGTGGCATGCTCAACCAGGTAGTTAGATGCAGCTGCTCGCAGTCTGACATTTCAATTTCTGGCCAGTTAATCGTGTCCTGTAGCGACGGTTACCAATTTA